ATATATATGCAACAGAACGGCTCTTCATGAAATTATAAGGACTTTCATGAGCGACCTTGCTCATGTCACTTACTAATTTTATGCGGTGGAAGTGTAAAGATTGAAGTTGAACATTAGATCGACAGATTATTGAATCTTTTTGACACTAATTGAAATCGAAATTGAAGAGAAACTTTAAATGTTATAGTTTACAAACAAAACAATGCCAAACCTCACTGCTGGCGGTTGTTTAAATAAGAAAGCAAACTTCATTTTTCGTTACTAAATGCTAGTTTTCTATACACACCTTGCACATCGTGTGTGTATGTGTACGATATAATTATTTTTATAGAATTATGCCTTCTCTAATCTTATGAATATACAAAATAACTCCAATTTTTTCGTACCATAGTCAATAGTGTGGTAAAAAGTCTTCAAAACTTGAAAGGCATTTGAAAATGCAAATGCTTCATGTTTGTCACAATATTTTATCAGAATCACAAAATGCGACCACCTGATTTTTTGAACATTATTCGTAAGATTGTTATTTTAGAAATTGTATTTTGTAACATTTGTAATTATGAATTTTTCCCTTGTATATATTCACCTATAAGTAAGGAACACTAATTGATTTTATTTACCCGATATACAAAATTCAACTGCCCTTAACTTCCTAAATAAAAAATAAATAAAACATGAAGTAATACATAATACAAAATTAAAAATAGAACCCACATTAACATTGTGGTAGTCATGAAGTGCTCCATTACCATTTTTACCTAAAAAAATATCGAATATAGCACCTATGAATTATACTGAGACTTGTAGTTGACTTTAGAGTGTAAAATTATAAATTTCAATAAAAGATAAGAATATATTTCTATGATTTGTGTGATTGTGTGTGATTTTTATAATTTACTTAATGTGTTTTTGTATATCGTTATATCAATTTTTTTAGTTTAAAAGTAGTTTTGATATTGCTCGAGATTGATTACAAATAAATTAAGAAATTCTATTATTTGCATTATTAATTGAATATTATCAACTATATATCTATAACTGAAGTTTACTTAGAGCTCATTCGACCCACATTAATTTATTTTATGGTTTACTATAAGATCATTTTCGATTACGCATCCCACAATAAAATATTCTACTCGTGTACCAAATTTTTTTCCTACTTTTAAACCACGTTTTCTCATAAAAATATCTCAATTAATGAGAACCAAATAGGCTCTTAACAATACTTTATACACACTTTATTACTTGTAAATATATCATACACTTGTAATTAGGCACAAAGTAGGATTTTCCAAGTTGGAAAAAGAGGACAGAGTCTCAAGCCTAAACTATTGGGCAGGGTATATGAGATTTTTTGAAAGACAAAACTAATTTGTGAAAAACGTAAAACAAAGCATTGCACGTGTAAAGTTTAAAAATTTAATGACCTGTTAAGCCCATGTTTGGTTTAGATAAAAATCAATTTTTTGTAAGTTTTGATTAAAGTTAACAGAATTTATAGTTGAAAAGTTTTGAGTCTCGTAAAATGTGTGATTAAAATTAATTATTGATTTTAACTTAAATTTTAATCTGAATTTTTAGTTGAACCAAACAGGGCTTAGAGAACTTTTGACGATTGTCTAATTTTCTTTAGATCGTGATTCTACTTGAACATAGCTTGTTGATTTGGTAAGACTTCACTTAAATTAGACATTGATCTCACTTGACTCGTCTTCTAAAACATTTGCATATGTTAATTATTGCTAGTAACCCAAATTTAAACACCTCCATTCATAATTGCAACAATAAGCCCATGTTTGATAGAGATTAAAATCAAATTATTAATAAATTTTGATAAAAATTGTTGATCTAATCCGTATCCCCTTTCCCGATTATCGCTATGAAAGAGGGGGGCTTGACTAGGGGTTGATAAAATGTGTGGTTGAAAAGTTGTGGATCTCATGAAATACGTGGTTAAGCCATGTTTGGGGCACATTTTTAATCCAAAAAAATGAAAAATATAGCCATTGGAAATGAAAAGGCAGCCACTTTTGTTGACCTTCATCTCATAGGTGGGACCCAAATTTGACAACTAACGATCATATTTTTTTCAAATGAACTGAAAATGTGCTCCAAACGGGAGCTTAAAATTAATTATTGACTATGATTTGAAATTTTAATTGGATTTTTTTCTCAAGGTCACCTATCCGACCATAAACTTTAGGGTGTTGTGAGATTAGTCGAGGTGCTCGCAAGTTGACCCGAACATTCACGGTTATTAAAAAAAAATTTAATTCGATTTTAATCCAAACCTGCGCTAAATCACCAAATGGGTTTTAGGACCTAAATGCTTTAGTCTACAAAGGCTGGGATTCCACAGTTTTTCTCCCCGAAAACAACCTCCTCACTCCCGCGGATCAGCATCCCTCTCTGTTCTCTCCCCCTCCCAACCGTATTGAGATTCGACCCTGAGTTCTGCATCTTTGATAGATCGGAACCGAACTACTTCATTTATCGCAATTGCTGACTTTTTCAAACAAGAATCAGGTAAGAATTCTGATCCTGCTTTGGAGTTAACTTAAAAAGTGGAGTCTAATTAGCTTCATAGTACTTTATGATTTTTCGCATCGAGAAGCTCCTCAAAAAATATTCCATTTATCGATTGGAGAAACTGGGAGGGGATTCCCATGTATTCTATTTGCCTTTTATAAATACACAAAATTCAATTTTTTCTCCGAAATAAACTATTTTTTCTTAATTCAGAAAAAGAAGTTCTTTCATTTTTTATTTTTCTTTTCTCATTAGTCTGTGGTGGGTACTTTAATTGTCATGGCCTGAGGCAAAATGAACTAAATTTCAATTATTTTGTCACATTTATTGTAATGACTAGCGATTAATCGATTTGTTATTATTTACTATTACTGTAGTGTGATATTAGATTTCTGTCTTTTAATTAGTGATGAAGCTTATCACTTCACACGTATTTATTAATCTACTTTTTACAGGGAAGACTTCGTGATTCTTTTCTTCTGCAATATATATGGCAACACTGAATTGTTTGCACAATACTGCATTTGTCCCAATTTTCTAATTACAGATTATAACTTTTTCGGTGTAATCCTTGTTGATCCATTTATTGGAATTAAATCTTTGCTGTATCTGTGGCTGATGCTTAGTGTCTTCATTCGATTCTGTGGTGCAATCAGATAACTCATTTTCAATTTGGTGCAATCATATAAGCGACTTCCATTCGCTCGCAATCCACTGTCCTCGTGAATTTAACTAACATAATATATTGACTTAAACTTTAAAACTAATGGATGAAATATGAATTACGTGTATGTCCACTTCACTCAACAATACACATCACCAATCTCACAAAAAAAAAAACTTTTTAGCACGTTATTAAACATCGGGTATCCATTAACTTTAACAACCAAGTAAACATATTACTTTAGTTAAACTAAACTGGATGAAGTGACCAGATTTGCAAGCAAATCGAAGTTGGATGACTTGACTCCACCGAATTGAAGATGAGCAATCTGGATGCAACTACACTCAAAGTTGGGTGACCCACAATGCATTTAACCCTTTACTTATAATGCATAAAAATTATTGTGCAGGCTGTAATGTATGCTTTGCAAGAACATAGAACTTGTGCCTTGCACTTCCTCCATCAGTTATTCTACCAGTGTGCAAAATTGTCATGAACTATTGCATACAAAAAATATGTAAATTCTTTTGGGAATTAGTTTGATTGTCTTCTATGAGACTCTGATCGGAATAGACATGTTTGGATCTGTCCAGTTCTCGTCTTTCATATAAAATTGACTGGTTCTATCTAGTGTTATTAAATCCAACCTGGACCGGTCAGTTCGACTGGAGTCCTGATGAACCGGATGATTAACTGGTCCGGTCCTTCAATTTATATTTTTCTGTTACGCTGTAATTCTTTTGTCTCACACATTCACATTAGAATTCAAATTCACACGTTTTACCAAACAGGCATTCAATTCCACCATCATTGATTTCTCCTCCATCTCTCTTCTTGGATTCACATTATTCCTCTAACAATTGCAGTAAGTATTTTTCTATTTTGTCCATCCACGTGCATATTATTCTGGTTTTGTGTGAAATTTTGTAGGGGTGATAATTTTTTTGTTTCAATATGGATTACATTAGAAAGGTGGAGTTTTTATTTGAAAGTTGATTTTAATTCATATGGACATATAATCATATTAGGCGTTTCTTCAGTGAGCATCAATGGGTATACATCTGCAAGATTATTTATTTATCATTTCATATTGGTTCTGGAGGTAGTATGCCATAAGTGTTTGTAATTGGCATTTGGTAATTTCTGTTTTATCTCAAATAATTTAATGTGTTCTTGACCTATGGATTCTTGTTCATTATTCACTTAATTGAGTTAACTTCTAAAATTAGATTGGTAACATTGGTTTGAGCAATTGAAATCCCTTTTTTTTTTAAAAAAAAAAAGACACTTCGTATGCAATGAATTTATTGGCCTTTGAATGCACATGATATATCACTATATTTCTGGTAAATATCGATAATGATCTACAGTAAATTAGAAAATAGTAAGTTAATAAAACCGGAATTAACCTACTGCTTCAACCATTGGACTAGTGACCCGACGACCCTGCTTCTTGTCTGGGTGGGGTTTAATAACTACGGTTCTATCTATGTGAAAAGCCGAAATGATAGTGATTCGGTCAGGCTTTCGAGAAAACCTGAACATGCACCCTCCTGCTAATAGCTGCATTGATTTGGAAAATATGACTATTGATTTGGCATAATGTTGGGGGTTTGTGTCAAGTAGGAATTGGAACTAAATTTCATTTTTCTGTAATTGATGGGAATTTACTATAGTTTGCCAATTAAGGACTATACTGTAATAAGTCTTTCACTTTTTGCATGAATTACTATTGACGTTACTATTGCGTTTAAATGTTTCCCTCTTCATATTCTCTCGCATCTCATGCTCTCTACTCTTTTCTTCTATGTCTTACATTGATCCGGGTCTCACAATCAACAGAATGGCTCGAAAACCAACACGTCAGCGATTATTAAGACGTCGACCACTCACATTTTCTCCATTTGGTCGTTCCATGGCTGTAGTTGCATCTATTAATTGGGGCAGGAACAAGATGCCAGGCTCCACGTTACGAACAAAAGACTGTCCCAGCTCTTCTGGTATGCTTTTCAGTATACTGTACTTACTTGTGCTTCTTCATTTTTAATGTTAGTTTCTTCCCACTATTTACGAACATTTTGAATGTGCACATCTAGGTAATGGGTATCATCACGTTGAAGATGAGAATGAACAAGCTGACTCTTCTGATGGTGAAGAGTTTGAAGTTAGTACTTCATATTGCCAATTATTGCCAATTATGGCTATTAGCTTCATGAATCTTGGTGTTTTTTTACCTTCTTTAGTTAATTGATTAATTATGTGGAAAGGGAGTTGTTCAAGCAGATTTTGCCTTCTTTGATCCAAAACCTGGCGACTTTCACGGAGTGAAGGTCCTGCTACAGACATACCTTGGCAGTAAGCAGTGGGATCTCAGCGGCTTTGTAGACTTGATACTGGGACAACCAACTGTAGGGACTGTTGTGAAGATTGAGAATGATGAAGACGATGCAGTATACTCTATTATTACGGCTCTTAATCTGGGAAGATACCAGGCAGGCTACCTCCACCCCTTTATCCAACTATCTTGTCCTTTTTAATGCTTGGATATTGTTTCTTAAAAATTGTATGAATAGCTTTAGTTTCCCCACTTACGAAACAGTTTGAAATCATAATTTTAAAACCTCGGGTCATTCATGGCTAATAAGTTGGTTTTGTTTATTACAGGATAATAAATGTATTAATGAGCTCAAGGGTTACCTCCTTAAAGTGTGCCAGGAGAACTATGTGTTGGCTAAATTGAGGTCTCTTATAGGAGAGCATGCCGGGGATGTTGGTCTTGTGGTTTCTCAGCGTGTTGTAAATCTTCCTCCCCAGCTATTGCCACCGCTTTATGATTCTCTCTTTGATGAAGTCTCATGGGCAACAGAAGATGAGGTTAGATGACATAATTCTCTTCATTAGCATGCTCATGCTGACTTCCATTTCATGTTTGGCTGCTTGTTGAGCTGATGCTTGGAGTTAATTACTTATGTGTTGTTATTTTACTTGTCAAAGCCTACAGAGGAGCTTCGGAATTCTTTTCGCTTCAAATTTTATCTGATTATTAGTAAAATATACAAGGTATGATGTTGTAATAGTTCAATATATCGTATATGATTGCTAGAATTTGAACCGGAGTTTGCAACGTATAATAATTATTCCTTTTCTTGACGCATACCTGTAGCATAAGAGTATAGATCAGATTAAAGGGCCAAGTCGAAGTGAAGATGAAGCTATAATGTACATCAAACCAGAAGATGAAGTTTTCCACAAGGTACTGGAGTTTTAATCTTTTGCCATTGTTGTATATTAAACTCAGGTTCCTGACTCTTCTTCTAATTGCTTCTTCAGCTTAGCTCGTGGTCGTTCAGCTTTGCCTTGCCTGCACAGCATGTTACAAATGAGGCAAGTTCTAGCATTGTAGCTTACGATAATTAAAAATACAATGTTAACTGTATCATGTAAAACAAGTGATTTAGAGGAGAGGATATTTGTGTAACAACCTGAGTTTGAATCAAGAAATCCCCCCCCACCCCCCACCCCCCTCTCTCTCTCCTTTTGCACGTTTCTACGCTTGTAAAACTTTTATTTTCACTCTTATTCTCTCTCCTTTTTCTACTTCTTGCACTTTCAATGTTAGGGGTGTGGGTGGGTGGTAGGTTGAAAGCAGAACTTTTGCAAGGATTCGATCAAATTGGTTCTTGCAACCCATGAAGACTTAGTTTGTGCTCACTCATACTATTATTCCTGGTCTTTCATGTTTCTAGAAAAAAGAGAACTTATTTTATCATTGTTCTTCCAGTTTTATAATCAGCATACATTTGCTATGAGAATTTTCCACTCTGCTTTTCCCATTTTGTTACAACCTTTTGCATCCAATAACCATTTTGAACATTGAAAATTTATTAGTTACATTTATTTGTCTACTCTTTCGTGTACATCCTCCTTCCGCTTGCCTTATTCTGACAATACTAAAAGCACTAATACAAAGTGTTCACATAATGAACTATTTCTTGCTTCCTTTGACACTGTCATATCTCTGCAGCTTAAAAATTACCAGTTGACGGGTTTAGTGATGGCCGTTGAAGCGAGTAAAGTTTCTACATTCAGAAAACAGTTGCACCTGTTGATAGATGAAGAATGATATAACGAAAGGTTTTACAGGTACGCACGTCATGCTAGTTACCTCATCATTACCAATTTACTTTTTTGCTAAAACTATTCATCTCATTTTACTTAATCTTTGCAGGTTCTAGAGTACTGGCTTTTGTGTTAAATCTAGTTCATTGTCCAAGTGACCAAAAATGGAGCCACCAGATTCAGGTCACCCTCACTTTTTGCACTATACTGCAGGTCCACAAGGATAACTGCATCTAACACCTCCCTGGTCTCCATATTTCATTCAGTACAATCGATTTCTTGTTGTTTACTGCTTACTCAATGTGTATTTGATTTAACTAGAGAGAAATTATTGCTCCTGATTGACTTTGTACACTGCCTTTGAGCTAGAAATTTTGGAATACATAATTATTCACAAATTTTGTTTGATTACATTGACCTGATCCATCACTTTACTACTGATTCAAGGGAATTTATTACATTATGTTGGATAGTACCAATGTAGTCCAAAATGGTGTGTACTAGCAAGGAATGAGATCATATGTACACAAATTTATAAGACCTGTGCTTGAAATAAAAGATTATAGCTAACAGAATCAAATAAATTTCTTCCGAAAGAGGCTGATCATTTTATAGTAGACACAAAAATTAATGATATTAATTGTGATGCTTAGACTCTTCAAAAGTGGAAAAGTATCCATGTCAACACGACATGACACGAATACTGATACAGGATCGGATCGGATCCTTGGTTTTGAGGTTGGACATGGCAGCAAAAGGGAGAAGACGGCTGCTTTTTGGCTTTGCATATAGGGTTTTGTAGGAGTTGAGGAAGGTATATGGATGCAGAAAGAAGGTAGACGAGAAGACGGTTGCTTCTTGGCTTTAGGGTTTTGCAGGAGTCAAGGAAAGTAGAGGGATGCAGAAAGAAGGAAAGAGTTGGGGAAGACGAGGCGGCTCTTGGGTTTGTTGGTTAGTGGGCTTGTAGTTAGTTTGGGCTTTAGGAATTGAATGTTAAAAGGGAAAATTTCATAGATAAAATATTAAGTTTAACTTATTTCAAAATGGGAAAATTACACAGTAGCCGGTATTTGAAGATTACTGTTCATAAATTAGGTGCAAACTTTAATTAATCATAAATCAGGTAATAATTATATATTTTAATATTAATATTAATATTACAATTAATCAAAATCACCCAATTCTCCCCAAACCCTAATCATTTTTCCATATCTTTTCTCTCTCTATCCTCTTCATTCTCTCTGTCTTCCCTCCCTTATCTCATCCGTTTTCTCCTTCTCTCTCAACAGTAGTGGTGTCGCCCTGCGCACCGACGCCACCACCAAAAGACCCCACCATCGGTGTTGCAGCTCGATGCTCAAGACGACACCACAGCCTCCTCGCCTCCTGTTACCGTGTCTGTAGGGTGGTGGTCTCTTCTCTCCCAACAATAATGGCGCTGCCCTGCGTAGCGATGTCACCACCGGAAGGCTCCACCACTGATGTCGTGGCTCGACGCTCAAGATGCCACCACCGCCTCCTCGTCTCCGGCTACTGTTTTTGCTTTTGTTTCTGTTGTCAATCGGCCTCAGGCTTCTGTCTCCGCTGTGCAATGCATTTGCTTGCAGCGCCGTGCGTGGTGGTCGCTCAACACTGCGTTTTTCTTTTTTCTTTTTTTTGTTGTTATGGATGTGAGGACGACTGGATGGTGGTAGAGCGCCGTTGGAATCTGGTTGGTGTTGGTGGTGATAGTGTGTGGTTGGATGCGATGGTGGTAGATTTGTTGGTGATGATGTTGGTGGCCGTGGTGATGATGGCGGCGGCGGGGTGAGGGTGGTTAAAAGTGGCTGAAGTGGTAGTGTCAGTGACATGTGACGAAGTATTTGGTTATATGTGATCAAGTATTTAACTGTGAACTAAAAATTTGAAAATATGTGACTAAAAAATAATCTGTTACCAACAAATTTGAAAATATCTGATCAATGAAATTAATTGTGACCTATAATTCTTTGAATTTGTGACCTCGAAATCATCAGTGACTAATTAATTTGATAATATGTGATCAATAAATAAATTGTGACCTATAATTATGTATATGTGACCATTAATTGTATAACTGTGATTTTAATACACACACACACGAATTTTGAATTTTCAAATTATAAACCTGATTTGTGAATGTGTAAATTATACACCTGATTTTTTATTTTTTTTTTCCCCTTTCAAAATTAAGAAATAATGTTTATTATTTATAAAATCGGATATTAATTAAATTTTTTTATAAATAAATAAATTAAATATATATTTTATTAATTAAATATATTAAGATCACAATTCTATACTATTTGGTCACAAATTTTGGAATTAATTGGTCACAATTTTCTCGGTCACCAATCAAAAACTTTATAATCAAAAATTATTTTATGGTCACAAATAAAATTTTTTATGGTCACAATTTATTTATCGATAACAAATTAAAAAATTTATAGGACACAATTTATTTACGTGTCACAAATCACAAATGTTAAAGTTGTGACTCAAATTTTTAGATCATATTATTTATTGGTCACAAAATATCCAATTTATTGGTCACAATCTCAAATAATTGGTCACAAACACCTAGAGCTGTCAATGGATTGGATTTTGATCCGAATCCGACGAAATTAATGGGAGATGGATTTATGATCTCAATCCGATAACCCGATCAAGATCCGAATCCGATAGTCCATTAACTAAATGAATCAAATATGGATATAGGTCAATCCGATCCGATAACAATCCGTTCCGATTTGTTATAAATAATTAAGTCGGTAAAATATTTTTATAGTATATTATTTGTCACTAAAATAAATAAATCAGAAAATAAATAAATTTAGAATAAAAAGTAATCAAATTCAAAATATAAAAAAGTGGAAAATTTTATAATTATTAAACCTGTTTAAGAATTGAAATTTTTTTTAAAAAAAGTTGATTTCAACCAATGTTTTAAAAAGCGACCCAGACATCGACCAGGAAAAGAAAGAGGGTCGAGGGTCAAAAAGTCAAATCGGTATCGAATCGGTTGTCAAATTGAATAAATAACTATACACATAAATATAAAATATTATAAAAACAGTAGATTTTTTTAATTTTAGTTTATTAATTTAAAGTAAATAAATATCTATATTTTTCTTAATTAAATTTATTATTGTAATTTATTTTACAACTTCAAAAACTAATAATTAATATGTAACAAATAATTTGATTTGTTAATGGAAATAATGAAATAAAATATTTATATTTAGAATTGAAATTCAATTTTACCTTATCCCACATCGAATGTCAATATAAAATTAGAAGAGAATATCTCCTTTAAAAAGAAATATCATGATGGCAGAAGTCACTATTAGGCCTGCTAGTAAAAACAAGCGAGCCTCAAGTTAGTTCAAAAATTTTTAAAGAACGTTGATTTTTTTCCTAATTTTTATTAATTTCGGTTCGGATTATCGGATCGGATATCCGATAACATAACAAATCGGATATGGATTTAAAAATCAAATATCCGTCAGATTATTGGATTGAATAATTTTCTTATCGGATCGGATCAGATATAGACAGATCTGATCCAATCCATTTACAGCCCTACAAACACCCCTACCCCATGCGCATCCCACCCACAATCAACACACTATTGCAATGATCACCACTGTCGACCACACCCTCACTGCCACCGCCTGCAACTCTACCTACACCATCAATAAAAATCAAGACAAACCTCTAACACCACCAAAATATGAAAACCACCACCACCACTCCAACAACAAAAATCAAAATCAACACCCCACTACCACAACTAGATCCACCACCACCTGTACCAACCAATTATAACACCACTATCACGGCAACCCACCACTGCACCAACGTCACAGTTAGGGCTGTCATGGATTGGATTTTAATCCGAATCCGACGAAATTAATGGGAGATGGATTTAGGGTCTCAATCCGATAACCCGATCAAGATCTGAATCCGATAATCCATTAATTAAATAGATCAAATATGAATATAGGTCAATCCGATCCGATAACAATCCGATCTAATTTATTATAAATAATTGAGTCGATAAAATATTTTTATAGCATATTATTTGTTACTAAAATAAATAAATGAGAAAATAAATAAATTTAGAATAAAAAACTTATCAAATTCAAAACATAAAAAATTTGAAAAATTTATAATTATTAAACATGTTTAAGAATTGAAAATTTTGAAAAAAAAAAAAATTTAATTTCAACCAAAATTTTAAAAAATCGACCCGGAAAAGGAAGATGGGTTAAACCGGAAAAGGGTCAAAAAGTCGAATTGGGGTTAAATCGGTATCGAACCTGTTGTTAAATTGAATAAATAACTATACACATAAATGTAAAATATTATAAAAACAATTGATTTTTTTAATTTTAGTTTACTAATTTAAAGTAAATAAATATCTATATTTTTCTTAATTAAATTTATTGTTGCAATTTATTTTATAACTTCAAAAACTAATAATTAATATGTAACAAATAATTTGATTTATTAATGGAAATAATGAAATAAAATATTTATATTTAGAATTGAAATTCAATTTTACATTGTCCTACATCGAATGTCAATAGAAAACTAGAAGAAGATATCTCATTTAAAAATGAACATCGTGATGGTAGAAGTCACTATTGGGCTTGCTAGTAAAAACAAGTGGGCCTCAATTTAGTTCAAATTTTTTTAAAGAACATTATTTTTTTCCTAATTTTTTATTAATTTCGGATCGGATTATCGGATCGAATATCCGATAACATAGCAAATCGAATATCGATTTAACCATCAAATATCCGTTGGATTATCGGATTGGATTGAATAATTTTCTTATCGGATCGGATCGGATCGGATATAGGCAGATCCGATCCATTTACACTCCTAATCACAGCAGCACCAATAGCCAGCCAAAGGTCTCTTCACCGCCAAGGTCCCTGGAGCCCCTAACACCACTACCTTCACCGTCGCCGTCGCAGCCACCGCCAGCACCTCTACCCACACAACCAACAAAAATCATCTAAAACCCCCCAACACCACCAAAACCACACCAAACTATCACTATCACCACCATAAGCAGCACCAACACCACACCCCAAGTAGGTTCACCACCGCCACTAGCATCTCACCACCGCAGAACCTCATCACTGCTACGACTATGGCATGAAAACCACCAGCGCGCCACCATTGCTCACAAACACCACAACATACAAAAACCACCAATCAAAGTGGGCCTAGTGGACTCGAGCTGTCATCACAAACAAACACCAAAAATCTAGTTGGTTGTAATTTTCACATGTTAAAATTCTAGGTTGTTATGAGAATAGGGTTTATGGATAAGTAGGCGTAAGGAAAATTGGGTGAGCAATTTTATTTTTTTTTGGAATTTTTTTCGGAATTTTTTTCTAATAAGTAAAAACAACTAAAAGTTGAACTAACTTTTTATTTTGAATTTATTTTTGTACCAAATTTCTTATTTCTTATATTTACGAGTCTGAACTTTTTATTTTATAATTTTAATGATTTAGTGTTATATTTTTATTTGTTATTAAATTTAAATTTATTTCTATAATATTTTTTAAATAATATATAAGTTATTGAAATTGATTTTTTTCTTTAATTTTCTTGAAAATAAGTTATTTTTATTTTAAATTAATTTTAAATTATAATCCAACTATTTAAAAATATACTTTGTAAGACTTATACACGTACCTGTATTCAAAATTCTCATTCTTTTTAACTGTATCCCCATATATTAATTTTAGAAATGAGATGGATCCGACTTCTAAATAAATATTTGTATCCGACACTCACACTCAGGTCTGAGCATCATATGATATTAAACCTAGAGAGTGAGTTAATGTGGTTTTACTGTCCAGAATAACTTGCTCATTACTAAACATGTTGAAGAAATGAAATATAATCAAGATCT